GGAGAGGCAATTCTTATTACCATATTTGCCTTCTGGAGCAACTCCTAGGTGTACTCAAGCCCTGCTTCCCAGGAAGTGGCTAGAGATCACCTGCTGATGAGAAGTAGAGAATAAATCTTTTGTCTTCCTTTGCTTCCACACACAGCCTTTGCTTTTATTAAACTGCCTTTATCTTGACCCACACATTTTTTTCCATTTTATTTTCTCCCAGCCATCCTGCTGAGGAGGGGAGCAGCTTGGGGGGCACCTGTCATCCATCCAGCCAAGGTCAACCCACCACATTCTACAAAGAAAAGGATGAAAGATTTTTTTTTTTTAAAGAACATCTGAAATGGTCACAGCTCACTATTCATATAAGAACACCAGTTCGTTTCAAAAAGTTATAAATTCACAAGGCCAGTATTAGAGCATTTCCAAGATTCCAGCTTTAAGACTTCTCTACACACAAGCAGAGCATGTTTAACCCAGCCCACCCAGTTACCATGCTGCTTATCTAAGAGATATTTCTGAGCAATCTATCAGATTAAAAATAAATAACTAAATATAAATCAACTACATCAGCAGTCACTGACAAAACCACACTCTCCAAATACACCTGTGAATGCTCAAACTCCTGCTCAGTCTACTTTAATTTGTTCCCACAGGGAGAATTCAAGTGCTAAATACATTTACAGTAGAGATGCAGTGAGGAGGTTTTTCCTTCAGAAAAGACTGCTGTAGCCTGCTACAGGAGATTATAAAAACGAAAAGATTGTTCAGGAAGGAAAGCCAGAGGAAGGATGTGAAAGGAAGGAATCAATGTCAGTACAGACACAGGGACTTTTTTGAGGTGTTCAATGCTTTGTTTTACAAAACAGCCAGATATTTATCTAAAAACACATCCACAACAGAACTGAAACCTGTGCAGAGCAGTAATGCAAAACTTAACATTCTAAACACTTATGATGGTAAATATTCTGTGTATGGATTCAAAACTGTAGCTACCTGAGAAGATATCTAACTTTGTATACAGAGGTTCTCTCAATAACAAAGTTATAAAAGTAATGTTTTGTTAGTGTTTTCCCCTAATATTTGCAGTTTAGAAAGTGTCAACACTAATTCTGACATATATTCACCAGACAATATCTCAGTTCAAACTGATTTAACATATGTAAAAATATGGTGAAAACTTAAACTGTTCTCCAGAAGCAAATGCCATAGTCAATGGCATGACCAAGAACTCATTCATGATTAAGCAGCTGAAGTTATTGTGTCTGCTTCATACCAAACCCATCACTAGAAACACCAGTGAGACACTTACAACACCTTGTTTAAATATCAGTGTACAGATTAAACAATTTTCACTTTTTCTCCTTTAAACTTCTCTCCCTACCCCTGTACTGTTCCTCTCCCCCAGCAGATACAGCTGTATTGGGTCTGAAGGCAGCAATTCCCTCATTCTGACTTTTGTGTGTGTTTGTGAAGGTTAAGAATGAGAACTGAGCTGCATGAAAAGGTAGGACAAACAGATGAGATGAATTTTAAGCCCCCAACATTTGCGTCTGTTAAAAGAATGGTAAAGGAAGTCAGAAGCAGCTCTAGCATGAAGTACTTTTATTGCTTTTGAAATCTGACTACATTTTCAGTTGGTTAGACTGTCCATGGACTCACCAAAACAGCAATGTTGTGTTGTAAACCTTCAGCCAAACCTGAAATTAAATTGCTTTAAACAACATACACTCTCAAATAGTTCTAAAATTAAGCTACGAGAGGGGAAAAAAATCCTTAGACTAAACAAATGCAAAGTGGCTCTGAAGAATGATTACATAAAAATGTCCTATTATTCATAAAAATCAATAAGACTACACTACAGACTTAGGGAAAGCCAACAGATACTTAAAACAGGCAGTGCAGGATGACTCATCCACTAGCAATTAAATCAAACACTGTATTTTCAAAAGAAGGTAGAACTGCATAAGAATCATAGAGAAAACTATAGAAAAATACCTGAAAAGATATTCTAAGTCAACAACATAAAAATAAGCAAGGAGACAAACTGCACATCCTAGTAATCTTAAAAACAGAAGAGGACAAGTGAACTGGCATGTCTGATTTTACAAACAATAGGAACCTCGCAAAAATCAGTAAAAGTCAGCCAGGGATCAATGCAACATCCAATCAAAAGAGGGTAACCAAGGGGGTCAGACAGATAAAGGACCTGTGTGGTGCATTATAGAAACCCTAAGAGTCAAATAAACTGTGAAGGACAACCACTGAATGACAGTAAATGGGTGACACCCTGTCCCAGACCATGAGCATTAGGGCTGTACTGCCAATGTGAACAGGACAGGACAGAGACTTCCTAACAAGAAAACACTAATTAGGAGAGATTCCAATTACTCAGTGGGTTGGATAAGTGTCAAGAAGGGAAGTGATGCAGTGATTAATTTTTTAGCTATCGTAAGTAATGGCTTCTTGGAGCAATGGGCCAAAGTAATCACAAAAAAAAAAATAAAAAATCTGTGATTTAGTCCATAGTACACATTTTAGAGAGGCAGCTGTTGAAGAACATTCTACAACAGCAGTATCAATGCATTCAAATTCAACATTCTTGTAAACAAAAAACCCCATAGCCAGGCAAAAATCCATCACTACAATTTCAGCAAGGGGAGCTGTGTAACAATGAAGATGCTATCAATAAAAGCAGCACCTAAAAGGGCAGAATGCAAGTATCATGAGAGCTTTGTAAGATGTTAAAAAAGAACACTACATCACTGGAGACTTATTAAGAAATCCTAGAACAGTTCTATAAGGCACACTTCAGAATCAGGAAGTGTGTCCCAAAGGAAAAACAGTAAATACTTGAGATTATTGCCATCTACATAAAATTTGGAGGAGCATATTGCTGAGGGAATCAGTACTTTCATCAAACACATCAAAACCAGAGGAAACCTGCCACAAAGCTAATTGGCTCAAGGGATTCTCTTTTTACTGTGGCCTGATCTTCCTCGTGTTTCTCTTTTGCAGCTTAAGCTATCTCTGTATCTCACTTAACTACAGAGGACACTGGGAAAGCTCCACACAAGAGTGTTTCTCTGTGGAAAAGAGAGGTTGAGGAGGTGCTTCGGCCCGAAGCAATTTTTTGAAAGAAAACTGACATTTAGGAGTGCTCACTCTTTGTTACCATTCATGCAGGAATACCAAAGAAATTCAGATATTGAAAAGGCACAGACTGTGTGGTATGTAAACTACTGCTGAAGTCAGTTTTGGTTTTAAACATTCTAGGTGGATTCAAGAGACTGCAGATAAATCCATACAAAGCAGACAGTGAAAATTTACAATAAAAAGAATTATCAGGCACATTGGCAATTCAAGTATCATACAAAAGAGTCAAAACAGCATTTGCAGAGCGGTAGCATGCTTTCCTGATCAAAATTCTTTACATGAACAGGTGAGCAGTGAAGGAATGATCTGCCTAAGACACCATATCTGAGTTTCTTAACAACTTTTGAGAAGGTTTTGCATAAAGGTTCTTGAAATAGAAGAAAAAAAGCAGAAAAAAAATCCCACATTAAAAAAAAAGACCAAACACACACCAAAAAACCCTCCCAACCCACCTACAAACAAAAACCCTGAGCTGTTCTGAGATAAATCACAGCCCTCAGTAACATGTGATGTTTCCCCATCTACTTACTCTCACTGCTACTTGCTCGAAAATATAAACATTAACATTCGATGATTTCTGTCCAAGCTACCAAGAATGTTCCTGCAATCCTGCACAAACCGAAATAAAAGATTTGCTGTTATGCCTATCATATTCACCAGGTTGCTTGCTCAAAGAAACTGCATGATAGAGTCCCAGAACAAACTGAATCTCTGGTTTCTTGTCTCTCTTTTCCTGGTTATGTTTTGCTTAAAATCATTACCTCATCTCACTATTATTACAAGGATGTTACACGAAAACATTCATCTCTTTCTCTAGTGTTTTGACAAGTTTCACTTGGAAGACATGTTAGATAGGAATGCCATGAATGATTCCCAAAAGGAGGAAGAGCTACCCAGATTCCTTCAGTACAGACCTTTCCAGTGACTAAAACACCAAGCAGCAAGGTTGCTACAAATCTCACAGACCCAAAGAAACAACACTAACTCTTTATGTAGCACACAGGTACCTGCCACATAGCTGGGAATTACCCCCCAATTCAGGAATGAATTTTTCTACCAAGCCATGGGACAATACAGTAAAATTGAGAGCTATGTAAAATACTGTTAAAAATCAGACAAACGACAACTGACACCTTGTTTACTTCTTAACATTATTTTCCTGGGACAGTACTTAAAAGAAGTAGCAAAGGCAAATGATTCAATTTGACAATAACCTCAGGAGAACAGACATTTGCAATCTTTTAGAACTTGACTTACTGCTTCCTTGAGAAATTTAGTGCCAAGTATCTCTGCAATAAAGAAAGCCTAACTGTCCAAAAAGAGCAAGCTGTGCTTGCAACTATGTTCTGGATGGCACATAACCAAGTGTAGTCGAAGCCATGGATTAAAGTAGCATGAAGGGACAAAAACATAGACAAAAGCCTTTTCATGATAACACTTTCTGGTTTTCTTCATTTTAGCATTTTCCTGCCTTATTCCTTTGGTGTTTTCCACAATGTACTTTCAATGTACACATGTTGCTACTTCTACCAGTTACTCCTCACTTTTGTCCTTTTCAAACCCACAGGTAGTTTCATAGAGGCCTCCCGACTGTAGCGCTCAAGCCAGCTTTGTTTAAAAGGAATTAAGTGATTACTTGGTATCTTTTAAATGGCTGAAGCAAGTATTTTGAGATATAACTTAGGCTTACTGTAGCATGATGAGAACAAACTTCTCTGTCACTCCAAGCCCACCTTTACATGGAACACCGAGCATAATCCTCCCCAACCACCTCTGATTAACAAGTCAGATACAGGAGATTAAAAAATGCAGTTTGTCACTGGGATCGTAGACCAGCTTGGTATCCAGAGCATTACCTTGCCTGTGCTTTGTAAGATTGTAGTTCTTGTCCTCCATACTCTCTCCCTGCTGACAATATCTCTGGTTACATCCACTTCAGCATCAACAAAACTTCTCTGTTTAAGAGCAGTTATGTCATCATCTAGATCAGTTTTGATAGTAGATCTTTTCTTTGCCATGATTTTTGCCTTGATAGCAGCAATTTTTTCCACTGACATGGCTTCAGACAAGGACCTAAATGAGCAAAAATAACAGTAGAGACTGAGCAATTACACAAACAATTCCTCTGAAAGAATTTGTGAATTAATAACTTCATCCTGCCTGAAGTTCATGGCTATGCTATAAACCACAAAATAGTAACCTTATATATACTGAAAGATTACGAGCTTGGCATTGCTGTTTTGGGCATGAGAATCAAACTTCTGACAAAGACTCTGTCCAGTATTAGCATAAAAACCATCCAAAAATCAAAACTATAGCATATAAAAGTAAAGAACGCCAAAGTAAAGCATCAGGACTAACACTATCACTTATAATATCATCTGAATTTCAGCTCCCTGTTATTTTTAGTGGATTACAATTTTGTGTCCAGTCAACCAATCTCTGGCTGCTCTGAGCCTTTCAAAGCATTAATCTAAATTTTGGCTGAGGTGTTGTTGCATGGACTTGGTCACTTGGAAGATGTGTTACCTTCTCAGAGCAGGCAGGCCAACAAAAAACAGATGGTAGTAACTTTGTCACATTAATCTGTGTTTGAGGGAGCTCAGCTGAGTCCAAGAGTGCAATATCTTTATCTGTTTGCTTTTAATTGTAAAAACAGAATTTGGTTGCCAGTGAGCCCTATTGTTTTTCAGGTGGGATGAAATAAAAAGGACTGAATTGCACAATCCTAACTGTCCAAACCCAATTTTATGTTAAGGGTTTGGGGTTTTTTTTTGTGAGAATACATTAAAAAAATTAATATAAGTACTGGATATGAAATATTCTCCTTTACAACTAAGCTATTGGAAAGGGAACTTCTCTGTGTTGCTATTGAACAAAGTAACAACAGAGTCAAGCATGGAGTTCAAACTCACTACCTGTAAATGTTGTTTGTACTTTTTTTAAAGGGACAATCTTTTACATCCAGCATTTCAAAAATCAGTAAATAGAGAATATAAAGTAATTACAATCATCACTGTAGCACTGCCTCACAACTCCAAAACAAGTTGTGATACACTCAAGCTAGCATCCAAATAATTAGTTTATACAAAATAATGTGTGCTTCTTGATTTTTTTGATCTTATACTTTCTGATCTTAAGTCAGGTATGACAATGACATCCTTTTTTTTTCTAGTTTCCTTTGAAGTACATCTATACAAGAGACAGAGAGGAAGAAGTAATTCAAAATATGTATTTTTCATGTGGTTAGGTCTAATTATGGATTCCATAAGTGACTCGAATCTGCTCTATCATAAATGTTTGAAGGTCTGACTCCCCAGACGTTACTAATGAGAGTATCTAAGGGAAGAAGAATTCCACTGAGAGCTGTTGGACAGAAGTAAAACCGGCTCCCTTGAACAGCACAAGAATTGTTATCCATCCTATAATTAAGCACTATCCATAAAAAAAAGCAATCCTACCTGATCTGCTCTGTTTGCACGATACCTTCTTTATGCCCCTCCAGCCGAGCTGCCAAGCGCTCCTTGTCGAGGCGCACGCACTCCTCATCCTGGAAGGAACAGCAGTGTTTAATTGGAGTGTTTTAACTTTTGTGCATTCTCTTTTAAAAAATAAATACAACTAGAATTAAAGCTGCTTACAACTATTTTCTGTACATTTGCAAGGACAATCTTTATTTCCCCTTTTTTTTTTGATCGGTGCACTAGCAATTAACTGTACAGCTATTGGAAATTTCCTCTCAAGAACCACTAAGTATAAATAAGATAATGAAAAGGAAACTACCCTTCCCTTGTAAAGAGCCTCGCTTAAACAACAGTTGAGAACAATAAAAAAGTCACTCAGAGAATTTAAAGCTGGCAAACAATGCTCATATTCAGGTAGGACAACACAAATCCACACATATACATATTTAAGGCAAATTTATCAGACATTCAAGTTCGCCCAGATATTTAATCAGTGACATTTTTAAAGACAAGAACTGCTCAGAATTGTTGCATCTTGATGCAGAACTTTTAGAAATGGCATTCCTAGTAAAGACAAAAAACAAGTCAAGAGTAAGGAATCCTCTAAGTTACTCAAGCCAGGTTTGAGACAGACATGTAATTTGAGAAAGCAGGAGAGAGATGTAATTTTATTCCATCTTTTCAGCTTCTTAATGTCAATACCACTTGTGTTCAACCTGTCTCATTTCCCCACAAAACTAAAATCAGCATCAAGCCCGTCCTATTGCTAAAAGGCTGTTTGGAAAGGCTGAAGCACAGCAAAACCCCATGCCCATACATCAGGAGAGACTTGGAATCTCTACACTGGGATGATCTCCCATTAACTTAAAACAGACTTCACAGACACCGAGCTGCCAGAGCAGCAAGGAAACAAAGAGAAGATGGCTATAACCTCATGACACTTCTATGCAGAACTCCTGATTATCCAAATTATGGTGGTGAAGACAATACAGTTTCAAAACATACTGGCATCATAACCACACGGGGTAATGCAGAATAAAATCTATGGGTCAGCAATAGGTCACCTCACAGCAATCATCTGCTCATGTGCCATTATAAAGTTTTTATGATACCTATGCAGTTATAGGTAAGCACAAGCAATGTTCAAATCTAATTCTTGAATAAGCGAATTTATGTATTTTGATAACTCTTAAGAAGAATCAGAAAGCCTCAGTACTCTGAAAACATATACAAATTTGTAACTCAGAGAAGACAACTGGATGGACATAATTTTCAAATAAATTATCAAGAAAAACTAACTAATTTTTTAAAACCAGGCAGAGTTAAGTAATACAATGCGTGTAATAATTAGACACATTGCTTCTATTAAAGAGGCACTTGTGAAAATACGCTGTTTAATTAATTAATTACCTAAGACACAGCTTCATAAAACAGTAATCACAGGGACAGCTTCATATACTGCTATCAAGGGGACTAAGCTAGCAGGTAAAACAAAGTCTCCATTGATAGATATAGGATGGGCATTTAAGTCATAATGCCAACTCATGGATGGCAAAGAACTGGAGCAAGTCCTTACAGAGCACTTTTATTCCAGTCCCATCTTAGCAGACACGTTACAGTGCCAAGGGTATTTAAGAGATGTGTGGTCAAGCTTTCCCCTTTCATACTACAACATATGTCCAGCGACCAAAATTCCACATTTAAATAAGAGGGTTTAATTCCAACTCCTTCCAGTTCACATTCACACTAAAAGAAGTATTGTGTGCACCCAGAGGACAGATAAGCCAGAGGAATTTCTACAAAAACAAATAAATACTGTAATATACCACTACCCCCAGTTTGTATTGATGACAGTTACTGTCATTACCTCTATTCTTGGTTTCTTTGCTTCTGCTAATATTTCATCTGCTGCTCTTTTAACTACAAGAAAAAGAAAACATTAAAAATGCAAGACTGTAGTAGACTTTTATAAAATAAAAAAGTTATTTTTTAATTAAATTGTACCTTGAGTGGACCGTTGAAGACCAATTTCAAGTGGAGCACTTCTGTCTATGCTTGATGAGGTTGCTGTAATCAAAGAGAACATTTAGTTTAAATACAAAATATCAGCCATAATATTTGAGTCTAAAAGAAAGAGGGACAAAAGAAACTGCAACAATGGAAATTGTAACTAGATATCAGGTAGTAAAAGCAGTCAAACACTGGGACCAGTGGAGTGGAGATATTCAGAACCTGTTTGAATATAAAGTTAGATCAGGTTGCTCAGGGTCATCTGGCCCTTCTTTGAAAAGGGGTTTGAACCCGCTGGCCTCTTGTGGTCCCTTCCAACATAAATTAGTCAGTGATTCTATGATCTCTATATACCACATAAAAGAGAGTCACAGTGGTAATTAGAGCCTGGAATCAAGATCTACCAGTTTGTCCAGTTTTTTGGAATAAAGACAACTTGCTGGTCCCTTTAAAAAATGGTTTTACTGCCCATATTATAGAAATAATCTCATATTCCAGGATACTTAAAATTTTAAGACCACAAACAAAACAGAGCATCCTACAAAGGTAAGTGATATTTATCTTCTTCTCAGAGAAACCTCTTTATTCTGACCATTGTTAACAAAAAATGTAAGATGATGAAATACTAGGTAAATCTGTCAGACTGACAAAGCAGTGATTTGATATGTTTTACTGAAGATTTTATCCCACACATTTCTTGCATTCAAGATCAATGTACTACTGAAAGCTTCCCACAGTCTAGAGATGGAAAAAACATACATGCTAAGCATTCTAACACATAACTATTGAGGATGTTAATAATAATAATAATAATAATAATAATAATAAGGCAGCTCACTTCTAAACGTGCATGTAGGAATGCAACTCTTATCTAAGCATCATAAAAGCAATTAATTTCAGAACAAAATTAAAACCCACAAGAAATAATAACCTTGTTTGAGAAGTCTGAACATATTCAGTTAAGATGCAGACTGACTATTATTGACCACTCTTCCCCTCCTACCCTTCACTTGTGCCATGAATATGAAGCAGTAAAGTGCACTATGTGTCCAAGGCAAAAGAACACATCACTCACATGTTTCCCCATTTAGGTATGCAAGCAAGTCTTTCCTATCAGGTCTTCTTACCACAGGAATGTTTTCAGTCTGAAAAGACAGCAGACATGACATTAAACTGTTCTTCCCTCGAAGTCTCTTGCTGAAGATTTTTCACTTTTATTGAAAAGTACCCATTCACACAAAGACAGGAACACGTGTCCTGCCACCCAAGAAAGCTTAACTAGCAAGCTTCAAAATGCAGCTACATCCTAGAGGATGTTCAGCTACACAAAATGAAACATGCTGTCTGCTATAAAACTGAAAGAGAGGACAGCTTTTTTTTCTCCTTCACTTCAAACTTGCAAATAAGATTAGCTTTTAACATACACACAATTCTCTTTCAGGAGTCTGTGTTGATACATAGAAATTAAGTACCTCAATTTTCTTGTTCCAAGTACCTAAAACATGCAGCACTGCTGTGTCAAGTAACCATGTAGCACATGGGAAGATGAAGCCTGGGCTCATAGAAAGCAATCAAATGGAAATCAAAAGTATTTTTTCCATTGAGAATTCCTCTATCTTTATTTGTAGAGCTTATCCAGTAATTTCTCTAATTAGATTGCATATTTCCAAGTCCACTCCAAAGCTATTCTGCTCTATTTTAGTCCGTTCTGTCGATCTTTGCCCTCTCAGGCACTAAAGGATCATCTAGATTGGAAATGCACAACAGAACAGCTGGACAAAAGTACTCTTTTGAAATAGTGCTGGAACCAAGTGTGTCCATGGAATATCAAGAGAAACACTACATTACTGTTAATATTTGGGTGACACCCTCTTGCTGTAAATGCAACCTGGTGGTTTGAAGGGATAATCTGTTAGGAAGTGAACTGCCAAGAGAAATGCTCCACCTTGGCAGGGACTGTCAAGGGATCCTCATGTAGAGGTGCTGGTTTTTAAACTCTCACCTGCACTCGCACACTTTGGTGCGTATCTTTTTCCCCTTCCCCAGCCAAATTCATCCATCTCAGTGCTACTATCATACCCCCAAAATGTCTACACACGGTATTACTTATCACAAGAAAAAAATCCAATGTTGTACGAGGTACTTACCGCAGCACGACGGACATACACAGGATGGGAAAGGTGCACATTATTGAGCAGGAACAAGATAGAATCCAAAGTGTAGTATTCCCTGGGCTGGCCCTCTTTCCCTGTCCTGTAAAACAGTGAAACAAAAATAGCAACATTTAAACTCTCCATCTCTCTTTCAAGCACACCCTTTTTTAGAAAAGATCTCTTTTCTTTCCAGATGACAAGTCAAAGAGCAAATAGTAATATTAATATCAGGCTACTGCCAAACTGGTGAACTATCAATTGTATTAAAAAATATGGGTGAAGGATATGTGTTCCTGCAGTCTCTTTAATGAACAAATTATATAAACTGTCAAAAATAAGCCAAACTAAGAGCTGGATGGGTTGTAAAATAAACAAGCAAGACCTGGGAAACCATAAGTACATATTAACATTTCACACATATTTATTCTGATTATCAAAGGAACTGCCTTGCCTTATTTGGGACAGCCACAGAAACATTACTGAACTGTGAGTGAAAAAAAAATATTACATGATCTTCAAGTATAACAGGATAGAATTTTCACCCCTAGAGAAAGCACAGTGAAGAACTCAGAATATATAAATTCTATGGAGTCTAGAGAGCAAAGGGTTCAAAATAGTGCCAAAAGGTCAAAATAAGGAGCGACTAGAAACTAACTGCACACAAAACTAGCAAAACCACAACGAACTACAAAATCACAATGAGCTCCCATACTGAAGTCAGACCACATAAGAGCAACACAACAGCACCAAGTTCAATCTCAGCTTTCAAATAGCTTGTTTCAAAGAGACACCTTTTAAGTCTAAAAGGGAATTTGTTCTATGGAACGATTAGCAAAAAAACCTCCCCACCAAACAATAAAACTCCCAGTTTCAGCTGGGCTCCATGTACATTGAACATAATTCCCTCCTCACACACGTTCACTCATTATGCTGTTCGGATAAGATTTTGTAGGGGAAGCAATGTCTGTCCAAGTTTCAAAACAAAACCTACTCCCTAAATACTCCAGCTGCTCTGAGAAACGGAGCTGGCACTCAGTTTCACCAGCAAAGCAGCAAGAGCAGTGATTCCACTGCCCACCTGGGACCTGCCAGACTCTGGTTCCTCCACATTGCCCAGTCCCCTTCCCCAACCCGCTGGCTCACCTGAAAGCCTGAGGAAGACAAGCCAAAGCTATAAAATTTAAGACTGGTACAGATTTTTCATGAAAAGAGATATTTCAGGAAGAAACCCTTCCATTAAAACCCTAAGAAGGAGCTTTCCCTCTAAGTACAGTGGCTTTACTCATGGCTCACCATCAGCACTGAAACACAACATGCACCATGGAAGTGCCAACCTCTCTGGGGGAAGGGAGAGGAAATAAAAAATATTCAGCCACAACATTATTGAACCTGAAAGAGCTACACAAACACCTACTAAAGTGAGGGAAGTGTAAGTCTGTTTTCTCAATACTGTAGATTTAATGCCACTACTGCTTTGCTTGCAATCACTTTTCTGAAATTAGCTAGACAGAAGTGTCCAATAACCTGTTCAGAACCCATTACTAGCAGTGAGGTTCAAAACATCCCCTTCCTAATAATGCCTGAGAAAACCAGTATATGAATATCACACAAAAGGGATCCAAAATACCAGTAGAACTGTAGAATAAAGGATCTTTCTACCAGTTTCTTCCTTCCAAAAACTTGGCCTGTGGGGGGTGTGTGTGTGTATATTTGCTGCTGGAGAGGAAAGGGAAGAGACAAAGTATCTTTAAACTGCTACAAAGCCAAAACTTTGCTCCACAACTACAGCCAACAAAACTGGATTCCTCAGCAAGGAATTGTTTGAGTCAGAACAGTAACAATCTCTGATAAGGTGGTATCTAAACATATTTGGAGCATTGGCAGAAACAAAAGCTTCCTCCACATAGGCTTGGCTCTGAAGTGAAGCCATGGTGGCCCGTGATGCAGCTGTCACTTCATTTTCAAACAAACACTTTAGGTTACCCTAGGTTGGAATAACTCATTATTTCTTTGGAATGTGCCATATGCACTGAGCATTATATAAAAGTCCAGCTGGTCATGTATTCAAGTTTTAACAATATACAGCAGTAAATGGCATAATTTTAAAACAAACAAACAAACAAAATACTGAACCCTTACCTATTAATTGGAAAATACAGTATTACAAAGCCATGGGCATTGCCAAAGCTCAGCAGGGCACAGCTGGTACTTCATCACTTCAACCCCACACATAAGAGATCCCCATGCTCTAAGAGGATGTTTTATTAGGGGGACAAGATATTGCATGTTAAAGGGAAATCATAAGATGGAAAAGCAGGTGCATATGAGGAGAAAATCTAAGTCTAAAGTGACATTTCAGCATCAGTGTGTGCTCCTGCTCAATAAACAAAGAACTAAATGCAAGCAGATCTGAGGGTAGCTTACCTCATTAAATTTACAAACATCCAAAGTAAAAATAGAAATTAATTCTCTTATTTCCCATATTTAGTTATGGCATCAATTAGTTAAGAAAAAAATTAAATCTTAAGAGGCAAACTTCAACAACCCCAGTAATAAGCATTAAAGCAAAATAAGGAGTTGCATCTCTTACAAAATAAAACTCCACCTTAAAAATGGAGAAAATGTTTATATAATACAAGAGAGGAAGTTTCACCTACTTGTTTTCAACACCAGAAATTTATTTCCTGCTCATCCATTCACCTTCAACCTGTGGGCACCAGGAATTTATTCATTTTTAACTGATTTATTTCCTCTTTCCAGTTTCAAAGCCTGCATTTTTACAGAGGTAGTAAAGCCCTGTGTCTCATCCACAAAAGCAAGCAGAAATCTTTAAGAACACAAGACGAGGCACATCGAGTATCACACAGATGACAATACCCAGGGCCAGCTGCTCCCTGTTTAAACTCCTCAGCTGCACATACAGCCCTCGGCTGGGCAAACAAAGCAATACGTTTCTCTGTGAGATTAATTCCTTCCTTTGGTTTTGAAACAGGTTTTATAATCACTCTTCAGGGGCCATAGATCAAAACACACAAAACACTTAATCTCAGGCCATGTAGCCTTCCTCACGTGCCAGCAGGAGTATTCATATAACTATTATCTGGAAACTAACCTGGATTAAAGTTAGTTTTTGTGCCCTCCCCCCCTCCCTTTTTTTTTCCCCTTCAGGTTACTTCTAACTTGGCTCGGTTCTCAGACCAATTCTCTGTTTGGCTGACTTTTGTGTAGCACAGAGAGAAGGCAGCGCAGGGCAGCACTGCTGACTTTGTCAGCTGAGCTGCTCGAGGAGTCAGAGCTAAATGTCTCATGGGACTACTTCTAATTCTAGCAGGGACAAATGCCACTGCTGCTGCTTGGACTGGCATTACTCTCTCCAGGCTGGAGATGCAATTACAGCAACCGTGCTGTGGACACCTAAACAGAAATCAAGGTTTGCTCTGTGAAAGACTAAGCCACCAATTGCTCAGTGTAAGCAGACTGTGAATCCTGTCAGGTGACCTGAATACAAAGGGGTTTGAATCTTAAAAGTTTTTTAAAATGTTCCTCATAAATTTGGCACTTACATAAATTACCAGCTCCTAAACTGTGGTGTCAAAGCTACTGAGCATGGCTTGCAGAACTGGTCTCAGTTTTACAGTGTCTTCCATTTGAAGATGCAACATGCAAAATGCCACAGTGGTTCCCAAGAAACATTGTGAACTGACAGCAGTGCGATCCTATCACAAGTTCAGAAGCCACTGGTCTAAAACAAGATTTACTAACTTACCTCAAACAAATAAAAACCCTCCAAATTCTACCACGTCTACCACAGGAGATGAATACACAGACAGCTATGAGGAGGTCACTGCTGCTGTTCTGCTCAGAGTATCATCTGATCACCCACAGTTCCTTCTTGACCGTGAAGATAAAGCTGCCTGACTGTACATAACAAAGTTTTCCTCTCCAGCTGCTGTCTTTTTGGCTTCTGGTAACAATGCCTGGGTCTAATTCCAGCTCTCCTGAGCAGGAGTACAGTTGGACTGCTGTATCAGTTTCTTGTTCCCTAGAGAAGAACAATGAATTTTGCTTGTCTAGTTAACCAGTGCTGGTTAATGCTTGGGAAAAGCAACTTGTGGCAAGGACACCACCATGACTGTCTACACACTGCTCAGCAAAAATACAACTAAGACCTTTAATTGCTATCTCAATGTTTTTCTTCCTGTTCGGTCTAGCTACCAGTATCCCCTACTGAGCCAGGAAACACAAATAACTCCAAAATTAGCTTCTGAAAACTTGAAATGTGCTTGAAATAGCACATTTCTAGTTATAAACAGAACGCAAATTAAGATCAGCTACAGAAAGCCCATCTGCAAGTTAAGATAAACAAACAGGTTTATTTCCTTTCTCTCTCCCAAACCACAAGTCAGGATACTAATATTCATATCATAATTATGAAAACAAAACAAAAAAATAATTCCTAGTCAGACGGAGTGACAAGTTCAGGGTTTTTTTTGAGAATTCTGCAGGTTCTTCTACTTTTCCACAAAGCTTCACAGGATAACATACCTGAAACACTTGCTACCTGACCTTTAACAAAGAGCATTTTCTTTCTCCTAGGTTTGAAAGAGATTCATTGGAATCCTTCTAGCGAGGACTAGAAAAGCAAGCAGCTGCTAAATTCTGAGGAAAGGTTAATGAAGAACTTCCTTGCAATGTGAGCAATCCATACCACACCAGGAAATTCAACAGGTACAAACCCCTATTTTCTGGAAGTTTCGGAAAAATAAGCATTTTATCAGGTACAATCACTTAAGCCACGTAAACACTATCTCTACTTGTTTATTATGACAAGACAAATTAGGAAAAGCCTGCACCGGGTCCTGCCCAGGAAGAGGCCCCCGGTAGGGGCAGGGCACCCTCCCAGCTCACCGGGGCTCGCAGGTGAGCACAGGGGGAGCGTCGGTTTGGACCTCCCTGGCTTTTTCTTGGTGTTCCAAAGCTCCAGGACAGCAGCAAACTGGATAAATAAACTAAGGCAGGGGAATCACAGATTACGCTGAGTTGGAAGGGACCCATCGGGGTCACCGAGTCCGACCCCTGTCCCTGCACAGGACACCCCGACAATGTCACCGGGTGCCGGACAGCGCTGTCCAAACAACAACGTAACGACGGAAAGGCTCGTCTTCCACCGAAAACCCAGAAAAACTCGGGACAAGCTGCCTCCTGCCATCTCATCGCATGAGTCTGCAGGACGCGGCAGGAGAATCGAGGAACGACCCGGCCGCGGCCCTTCTGGCCCGGGGCAGGGGCCAGAAGCCTTCCCGAAGAAAGTGGTGAGTCCTTCCCTGCCCGCTCCCTGCCCGGCCGGGCTGCCGGGGAGCGGCATCGCCACCGGGACACCCGGGCACGGCGGCGCGGCCCAGGGGCCCTGCGGGACGCGGTCCCAGTCCGGCCGCGCCAGCTCGCCTCGTCCCTGCAGAGCGGTAGGGACCGAGCCCCGTCCCCGCGCCCAACTTCGGGGCAACTTCTCCCTCCCTCCTCCTCCTTCTCCTCCACCCCCCCACGCCCGCCGCGCCCCGGGCCGCGCCGCTCACCCCCAGATGACATAGTTGGTCTTGACGTTCTTGGGCCAGGAGAACTCGCCGAAGATCACCTCGTCGCCCTTGACCACGATCTCCTTCTTCTGCGTGTTGTACTGCCGCAGCACGCTCAGCACGTCCGCCATCTTCGCCCGCCTGCCGCCGCTCCGGCCCCGCCGCCGCCCGCCGCAGGACCCCGCCGCCGCGCCCGGGGCTGCCCAGCGCGAACGCCTGAGCCGCCGCTGCCGCCGTGCCGCCTACAGGGGGCGACGCCGCGGACGCGTTGCCATGGCAGCGGCCCGCCCCCGCGGGAAGGAGGCGGGGCCTGAGGGGCGGAGCCACGCCCCTCAGGCCACGCCCCCTCCGCCCTGAGGGTGGTCCCGGGTGATACCGGAAAGCGGCAGAAACAAACTTCCTAACACCAATTTGTAGATATTAAAAAGGCCATTCTGCTTTTATTCGTCATGCTGGACGCTGGGAGGACAGCACCTCTAATCGGACGTGCCAAATGGCAGATGGACAGGGCTTTATTTATTACGCGTGCTGTTTACATATTCATTAGATAGGTTTGCTCGCTAATACATATTCATGAATGCTTTGCATGGTCACGCCCATACGGGAAGTCCTCCTTGGTCCTTCCGGGTCTTCGTCGTCGTCCTGACCCCGGTTCTTGTGCACAACGTCATTGTGTTCCACCACCAAAAACTGTAGCGCTTGTTCTCTGTTTTATCTGGGTACACAGAGCTTAGTTTACATCCTGCTTGTTTACACCCCTTATCTAATTCTCGAGGACTTCTCCAAGGTTGTATTGTTCCTTGTTTGGGCACTCCAGGATACTGTGAGTGAAGTTTCTGTCTCTCCTGTCACGGGTACAGCTTTCCCTCGCCCCGGGCACCCAGAGTTTTAATGTGTTTTGTGTGAAAATTGGGGCTGTTTAGCCTGGAGAAGAGGAGGCTCGGGGGAGACCTCATCACTCTCTACAACTCCCTGACAGGAGGTTGTAGGCAGGAGGGGGTTGGTCTCTTCTCCCAACTACTAACATTGTGAATTATACCAATCACTGCCAATATTTATTTGTCAATGGATATAGAGTAATACTGATGGATTTAGAAGACAAAGACATAATGAATAAACAGAGTATAATTTTTTGGACTGGATTTGGAATTATTATTGGAGCTATGGCTCATGAAAATTGGAATGGAACTTGAAATGATTCCAGTGGGTCAAGTCCTGTTTCCATGCCTCATCCAAAAACCTACATCACCTAAGCCAATGCTACGTCTTAGGTCTGCTACACTACAGATAATACTTTCTTCAGTATTATGGTGTTAGAGTGACACCAAAAAGCCACTCATTTCAGTTCTGCTGCTCAGGGAGCAGGGAATGGTGCACACACGGCTGCAAAGAGATTTATTTTCAGATTTCAAGAAAATGTTGCAGTTCTGGTTTCCTTTTTCATGTGAGGCTGCCTTCATCTGGGGAGAACACTGAAAATCAAAGTTCAGCAAGACAGTGTGTGCATTGGCAGTAGTTCACCAGGGACATGATGCCTGCACCCTGAGGAGCAGGAACGCTGAGGGAGGCAGGGAACAAAGGATGGAGCAGCACGAGGTGAGGTGGTTGTGCCCTGCTGAAATCAGTGCAGGTATGAAACAAAGGATGGAGCAGCACGGCGGGGGTGCGGTCACGCTCCATAAGAAACAATGCAGGGAACGGGAGCCAAAGGAACGACCTAAACCGTGACCAAACTTCACTTCAATAATCCATGTGTGCTCATGGCTGAAGTCAAACTCCACCTAAACAGAAAACGATGTCAACTGTAACTCAGCTTTTCTCCTCCCTTGAAGAAAACAATATAAATACAGCTTAAGAGAGCAGGGAGGTCAGAGGAGACTCCAGCTCTGTGTCCTGGGACTGTCAGCAGGCTGCACCTACCTCCTCCCCCAGGGATGCCTGTTGGGTAAGGCTCAAACATTTGGCTGATTGTGCTTGAGATCGTGCTCTTAGGGCTGTATCAGCATCTCCCAATTTCATGTGCTTGTGCCTGGCTGTGTTACATTTTATGTGTTCACACACGCTTCTGCAGACAATGTGTTTACCACCAGCATAGAATCATGGAATGGTTTGGGTTGGAAGTGACCTTAAAGATCATCCCGTTCCAGTGCCACGGTGGCTCTGCATTGTTGTTGCTTAGTGCTGAACTGGCCATCCCTCAGAATCCAAGCCCAGCTGCCTCCGGTCCTTATGGTTCCTGAGGAGCAGCTGGAATTCAACAGGGGTGGTTTTCTGCCAAATTTAATACAACAGACAAATTCGTTTTACTCTTAATGTGATACCTTCATTAGAAGTTTTAAACGGGAGTTTACAAAACGGTTCCTGCAGCTTTAGGAATCATAGTGAGATTATTAACCAGATTATTCATATCACTAAATCAGGATTTGATAAGAGATATCGGAGAAACTATTTTCACATGGCATTAGACACACGATTCCTCCGGAAAATCCACCCCGTCCTTGCCCCACCTCCTGACCCCATCCCGGGAAATGCACTTCATCGCTGCCCCTCTCTGACCCCCATCCCGGCAAATCCACCCCATCGCTGCTCCTCTCCTGACCCCCATCCCGGGAAATCCTCCCCATCGCTGCTCCTCTCCTGACTCCCATCCCGCTGGCGCTCACGGCGCACCGGCAGCGCGCGGGGCAGCCCTGTGGGGCGGTGCGGGGGCCTAGCGGGCGTGGTCGGACCGCGGTGAGGACTGCGGAGAAGCCCCGCCCCTTCCTGTGTCGGCCATGGCCCTGCAGGGGGCGCTGCGCCGGGCGGCGGCGGCCTGGGGGGGGCGGTGAGAGCGGGACCGGGGAGAGGGGTCGGGAATGGGGGCCCGGAATGGGACCGGGAATGGGATGGGGATGGGGATGGGGACTGGGAGGGGGAGAGGGATCGGGATTGGGATCGGCATCGGGACTGGGATCGGTGTTGGGACTGGTATCGGGGTGGGATTGGCAGAGGGATCAGAATCGGGATCGGGACGGCGATTGGGATTGGGACCGGGTTTGGGATCGTGATCGGGATTAAGACCGGGATGGGACTGGGAGGGGGATCGGGTTTGGGAGAAGGAGAGGGATAGGGACTGGGACAGGGACCGGCATCGGGTTTGAGATTGGGAGAGGCATCAGGATAGGGCTGAGGAACCGGAAGAAGGATCGGGATGGGGAGAGCGACCACCAGGCCCGGGATCGAGGTCGGGGCCTGGATCAAGACAGGCATCGGGATCGTGTCACGGTGCCGTGGGAGGAGCGGGGGGCCGGGCCGGCACGGCAAGGACGGCTCTCGGTGCTCCCGCGGGCGCCGGGCGGTGCCGCGGGCGGTGCCGCGGGCGGGACACGTGTCCGGCCCCGCCGGGAACGGAGCGTTTGGCGAGTAACGGCCCCGCCGGGGCTGCTCGGCAGCTCCGACACCCGGCTCTGTTCTCCTGCCCCCGCCGGCGCTGAGCACCAGAACGGTGTAGGTAGTGCAGCTGAAGAGAGAAATCTTGCGCCTAAGAGAGAAATCGGTTAAAAAAAAACAGGACAAAACCAACCCTTAATTTGTGAACTGCAAAATGTGATGTTTGTCTGAAAGCTCGAATATCTGAGTGTGATTTCTTTTTAGTTCTAGAATGGGGAGCCTACAGTCTACTTCTGTAGGATTGTCTAATGATGCTGCTGTAAGTCAAATACAGGTAACGTTATTTATGCTACTTTTACTTATTTTCAACATTTATAAAAGCTATGGGTACTTAAAACGTTTTCTTATTTATACAAAGAAACACTGCAAATAGTTCTGCATGTTGAACCTGTTCTTATGCTTATTACGTTTATCAAGTCATGCTGGCAGCATTGTTTATCCACAGCCCTGGAACCTGATCTTCCTAGGCTGCACCCATTTTATGTTTTTTCAGACCTCTACTCAATTTTTTGGAGTCAAGTACAGGTCAAACATGGCTTCATATGTGCCAGCAGTAATCCTCCTGTATTTGTTACCATAATAGCAGCGTTTTGACTTCTGTATTAGCTTTCACGACTGTTCAATATTGTTGGAAATGTACTGGCATAAAGCTCTCTGACTTAAACCTCACTGACTTAAACTTTCTTTTGAACATACAGAACATTATTTCAGACAACTGTGTGGTGATTTTCTCTAAAACAACATGCCCATACTGCAAAATGGCAAAAAAGCTTTTTGAGGGTTTGAATGTGAATTACACAGCTGTGGAACTGGACACAAATATGAATGGAAGCCTGTTCCAGGACGTTCTTGAGCAGATGACAGGTGGCAGAACAGTGAGTATCTCCTCCTACACACAACAAGCAAAGTAAGAACTTGGGATATACATGTGCCCCTTGGGGTATGTCCATATCAAGTTCTTCATCTTTTTGAGACAAGTAACTTGGGATACAAGCTCCTAAATTAAAGACAAGGTACTGCAGAAGGGTTCTGTACCCTCTTTCCCTCTAGAGCCCCCCTGGCTATCCCTCAGTTATCTCTTCCATACTGCCACTGAAATAACTGAAGTATCATTTTTCATTTGTATATTTAATCCATTGTGTTAAACAATTGCCTTGTATTTTCTTTTTCTATGGTCTCACTTGACTCAGTTGTTACAAACTCCCACACAGTGACTTCATCCCACTTCTGAGGGGCACTCAAAGCTTCCCATCTCTGTAAATATTATGGAAACGTATGAGTTGTACACTAATATTATACATACATCTAGAAGAACACAACTACTCTGTGTATTAGAGTCCATGTGGGCTTACTTAAGACTTTTATCTTTTTTCCAAGAAGTAACTAATGCAATTTTTGTTTTCTTGATAGGTCCCAAGAGTGTTTATCAATGGGACTTGTGTTGGAGGTGCAACAGATACTCAAAGGCTTCATGATGAAGGCAAACTGCTTCCTTTAGTTCATCAGTGTCAAATAAAAGCAAATTCCTGAGCAGCCATCCAGCTTAGCTTCATCTTCCTTTGTATAAACAGAATTTCAGATGAATGCAGAAGATCACAAAGATACACAGCATGAGCTGCACTCAACAACTTCAAACCATGGCTTTCTGAATCACAAATCATTCTCTGACAGACTTTATGGACTTAGCAAATTAACTGGTGTCCTTGTTTAAGCTTTATCATAATCAAAATGGTTATTAAAAATCACTATGTAAGTCAGGGCTCTGCATGTGAGACAGTGATGTCATTTCATGGCTCTTACATCCTGCTTCAGAAAAGTCTAAACTGTACAAGAATAATGGGTATTTTTTTGCTGGACATTAGTTTGCTTTCTAGCTTTGTTTCAATAAATGGTCAGTTTAATTTAACGGTGCCTTTATATGCAATTCTTCTCTGTCAAATTGTAATGAAAAAGTATTAAGCCAAACAAGGCTGTAGTGATCCTGGTGTGTGTGTGTCTGCCTCTCACATTTCAGTGCCTGATCACCGAGCTCCCAAACTATACCCACTTGAACAGAAAAGGGAAAAAAAGAGTCTGGCAGCTTTAGAGGGGAAGTAATGCCTTTCATCTCTACTCTGCACTACAAAGTATCAGTCTGTACAGTGCCATTCAGGAATTCTCCTAGGGGAGCCAGACAGCTCACTGACACCAAACTGCAGCTATGAACTACGGTACAATAATCCAACAATATTAAGAAAAAAAAGACTAAGTCAAATGGGTCTCATATGCATAGAGTTTATTTAGTACTTAAATTCTACAATCAGAATGCAGTTTACTAGCCATTTTAACTTTCCGTTAAATGTCTAAAAGAAATTACTAAAATTCAATAGTTTCAGTACAACGTACATCCAAAGCCAGAACAGGCAATGCCAAGACTCTTGGTTATTTCAAGGAAGTCCATATGCAAGTAGAAAATGCTATCCCATTCTTCAGTAAAAGGGACCATTACACAACTAAAGGTGCACACATGAGAATAAAAACATTAGTCAATTAATTTTTACTCAGTTTTTGTAAATTACTCCTGTTATTTCCATTGCTTTCAACACTGCATGTACCTAAACTACTTTTTCCCCCCCCCAAGGGAAAAAAGCATCACATTTATCTTCAACTCCAGGTAGCTAGGACTGCAAGAGTGTAATTTCAATTTGACAGCTTTATTTTTGTGATGCAGGTTTGAAACTGCATCATTTATAGAAAGTCTTCAGAATAGAGTTGTCTGCACTGTGCATCTTTAATGTGTAATAAGCTAATTAAACACACTGGCCTCGTTATATTTTTATTGCCATTTACTGTATTTTGCACAGTCATCAAGATAAACACACAGATGTGCATCTCTTCCTGAATTTATACTTAATAAAGCAATTTATTTGCACATACAGTCATAAAAGAACACCAAGTACTCTTTTTCTCTGTGTAGAATTCTTCGGCCAGCTAAGTGTTTTCAGAAGTTTAGCAATAATTTTGCCCCTGAAAGCTGATAAACCCATCACGTAAAAATAATAACAATAGTACGCAAAGGAATTTTTCGAAGACCTTTTCATTTTGTTCCCTGTTTAGGGACTTTGTTTTCAAACAGTAGTCTAAAATAACCCTTTGAGTTCCAAGTTTCGGAAATCCCAGGGCACTGTCACTTAAGGCAATAATCTAATCCATCTGGAGAAAACATGCTGTGTGCCTGCAAATTCAAGTGAGTGCCCATTTATTAAAGGAGATATGTCTTAAGGCACCCAAAGGGTTAATTATGTTTCTTTTTAACCATATTAAGGCTCCCCATCCAAATAGTTTTTCATTAATTGTGTATAATTTCACAGAAAGTAGCAGCAAGACAGTGCCTTCATTATTGGATGGCACAAAGCCATGTTATGTTTAAGTTATTTAAACATGATATGGCAGTTAAAGTGTGGTTCTACTCTAGGAAATAATAAAAAAAAACCAACAAACAAATTAAGAGACTCAAGAACAGTCGTTAAAAATTTCCATGATTTTATGCCCAGCATTGTCTCCAGGACAAAGCTGTTTATCTTAAAATATGCTTGCCCTGGGATCTGAATATTAAAATGTATCCACTAAAAGATATGGATACCTGCTCATCCAGCCTAAATCCCACGCTTCTAAGTCTGAGAAGCTGGAAACAAACACTGAGGTTTTTAACTAAGCAGACAGATCTGTGAATGTGCCCATCTGTTGCTTTTTTGTACAGAATTCTTTTTAAAGAGTAGAACTGCACTTTTATAGGAGAATGAAAAGACATTTTATTTGTAACTAGTTGTGCTTAACTCTTAAGAAGCTGGTTAACATTAGGGAAACAACTATTTATATTCATTATTCATTAATGAAGCATTTGTAAAAGTTCTCCACATACCTCATATATATGCAAATATATATATATTTAAACTTAAAAGTCAGAATGCAGAAACATCTAAAGAAACCACGCTTTAAGTATCAAAATTTTAAATCCAAATATGTAAGCACACATATTTAAAGACACCATACCTTCTGCCAAAATCAGCTAATCTTACATGTTATCTCTCAGAGCAGCACATACACAATATACTGTCCTAGTTAGTGTATTACCTTTCCCCCCACCCCGAACTCTTACTCAGCAATTTGTACACAATACTGTGTCATGGTGAGATGAAATCTCTACCATTCCAGCAAGAAAGTCATTAGAACAGTTTGCTTACAGCATATCTGCACTGCAAACCACTGCAGACAGCAAAATAAACCTATAAACTGATCAAGTGTCAGAGAAAGTAAGGATTAAAAGCACAAGCAAACGATACTTTGCTTAGGTTTACTTCTACAGCCTATTCTTTGAAGACTTCCTCTAGTTAATACTGTAAAGAAGCTGCCCATTTATCCAGAATATTAATTTAAATGTTTGCCTAATTCTGCCTATGACAGCAGCCTGATAATATTTAACGGAATAAAAAGTTTCAAACCACTGAGCTAATTCTAGAAAAAAGCTTTAAATTTGAAAAGCCAATTGTAAGAGGTTACTTTATAAAAATAAAGTCATTCACAGGCAGGTGTTGGATTTTTGTAAATAAACAAAGTATACTTTTGTCACTGATTTTTACACAAAGTTTTACCAAAAATCCGATAGATACAGCAAATCGAATGTTTTGTAAAAGATTTACATAATTAAAGAAAAAAGTTTATCCACTCTTAAAAAATTAAAATAAATACTATGACATCAGTTCCGGTGTAAGTAGCTAAGCGCTCAATGACAGCAAAAAGGCAGAACAGAGGCAAAAATAAAAAAAAGGAATGGATGAGAGCTTGTGAAAAAAAGATTCAAGTATAGGCCTGAGGTGACGAAGAGATGGGAAAGGAGAAAAAAAATCAACATTAACAGAAAAAAGGAAGGGTAAAACAAAAAGGTAATAGAAGAAAAAACCCAAACGGACCAAAACTAAAGCTTCTGTTACAGTAGCTGTGAGTCAGGTACATGGTTCAGCAGCACAGCATTTTTTGCAATGCACAAAAATATTTTCATAGTGTTCTTACAGACAGAGCCATTATTAAAATACACTTCCAAAACTGCTGGTGTTTCTTTAAGCCAAGAATATGTATTTTGTTGAATAGCCTTTTAAAGCCATAACCATTTATGGGCACCAGTTAAACAACAACAATGCAAAAGAATAACACAACCCCCCTTATGATTTATGTTTAACAAAGAGGTTTAACAGCGGTTTTAAGCAGCAAGGTATTTTAGGGCCAGTTATTAGTAGCCTTCACACAGTGGGCATTTAGACTGGCCCTTCTGACTTCAGAGCTACTTTTAGACTTTTCTTTTTTTTAAACACAGAGGAATGTAGGTAAAGACCCCATATTTTGCCTGTAATCTAATTCTACAAGCATCCCAAACGCTCCTACTCCTTGCTCCAGGTCTAAAATTCCTGACATGAAATTCTATTTCTTGGGCCTCTCCACATTCTTGATTGTGTCCCTTCCATGAAGAACCCTGGCCTTTGATGTTTGTTCCTTATAGCCCTTCATTACAGAAGAATGTTTTACCTCTGTTGTGCTTCCAAACATTAGAACCTTTTTTTCTTTCTTAAAGTGCCTGAACATTACAGCCTTAGACTGTATAATTGTTTAATACTTCAGAATTGTTAAGGGGGTCACAGTGAAATGGCAGCCAAAGTGAAACCTCTCAGTTCTGCCAGATATCAGGAAACCTGCGTTCATCCACTCTACTGTTGCACTCTGCATTTAGACTTATTTTAATCAATATTTTGAATAAAATTAACTAGCCTTAAACTTCTCCCTGTTCAATTTTTACTGATAAACTGCATTGCACAATTATAGCCCCATTTCTGCTTTGTTAGCCAAAGTGTTCCTCCAATGCAAACACCATTATTAATTTCAAAGAGTCCCTGTCTCCTCTTTGGTGAAAAGGTAGGTCATTTATTGTACACTGAACTAATGCTTCAGTTTAGCAACTCTGTCTTAGTTTACTTTTTTCTATTATTTTTGAAGCATTACAGTAATTATTGCCTCTTTACATGTCTAGATATTGGTTTGGAAATTACCAGTTTAATAACTGAAGACTAAAGTCAGGACAATTATGTTATGGCAAATGAGTCATGCTGTCCCCTAAAATTCAGGGTGTGGGCAGATAAAGATCCAGCCTAGGGAAAAGGAATACACAGCATCGTTATTCTATGCCCCTTCCTGGAAGATAATAACAAATGCGAAAAGAAAATCATAGGAACAAAGGTCACACTATAAAGTTTCAGTTGTCAGTATTTACTTCATTTCCCCCTCTCTGTGTAAATCTTAAGGGAGGAGCAGATGACAATGTGGTCTCACCAGTGCTAGTTTTACATTGTGTAACCAAACCACTTAGAATATTCTATTTCTAGCAAGACTTTTTTGTACAGAGATACTATAAATGTTTAGGAGTGTATTATGTACCCTAGCATGGATGACTATCTTTTATTATGGGTCAGAGCTATCCAGTGTCAATAAATACAGGGAGCTACAATTTCTATCAGTTCTACTGAAAAGTTCATCTTTACTTACACACTCTAGTTCAAGTATTTTAAACTGGACTGCTTTCAAAGATGCAACACCACTATAACCGTTCATTCAATCTGTTAGTAACTATTCTAACCTTTTATTTGCAGTAAGTTTACTTGAAAATTACTTGAAACACCTGTTTAAGTTTTCATTTTATATTTAGTCCAAAATATTTCCTATGATTTCACAAATACTACTCCAAGTAAGAAAAAGTACTTGCAAAAGTACATCAGTTATTTTCAATGTGTCTAGCTTAGAGGAAACACCTAATCAGATGTTTGACTACTGCGTAATTTAAAACACATTATTACCAAAACCAACCCCAAAACATCAGTGCATTTACTTGAAATAATTATTAACATGTATTGAGCAAATGAGTTTACTCCCCACATTGATATGGTGTTTTGTATAGATGCAATTTTTCACATGAAATGGCTGGTTTTCTTTTTCAAACTCAAAGTGCTATGTCTCAGCTTTTGTAGGAACATGGTTTTTTTCCTTGATGTCACCTGAGGAGCTGGTGGCAGTCCTGTATTCTCCAAGCTTTCTATCAGAGCTATACTGTAAGAGCAGTGATAATTCACAAGTAACTAATGTTCACTGAAAGGTAACGCTCCTACCATCAGTTCTTTAAGCCCTGGTTTTAATGCCAGAAAAGGCTTCCCTCACTGGTTTGGTTTATTCATTAAAGGAGAGTGTAAGTAAGTAGCAGAATACCTTCAGTAACATGTAACATCCCGTTTTAGCACCAAAAGAGATACCCGCACTAGGGAATGCGAGCTCTGGATTTGTAATTAATATGTATGAGGCAAAAAGAAAAGTGTTACAAGTATCAAAAGTATAATATGAATTTACATTTAAAAGCTTAGGTTTTAGGCAGAAAAATATGGTCTTACATGTTATTTACCACAACGGGTAAATGCGTTATTTTTATAAATCATAATTATTTTCAAATTAACATCAAATTCACTGTTTAAAACAGCCATCATTAGCATAAAAGAGGCTGACACACATATGTTCTAGAGGAAGTTGTAAAAGCATCACTAAAAAACCTTTCTAATCTTTTAAGACTGATCTACTAAAGAGATCTTTTAACTTCCCCCCATACTGACACATATAAAACACATACAGAATTAAATACATATACACATGAATTGCTATCAATCCCTGTTCCAAAGTGGTAAGTTACTCACTAGCTTTCTCCTTGTTTACTCACAGTCTTACTATAAGACTAAAAATAAAAAAATAAAAAAAAGAATCCAGTTTCAATCACTTCCTAAACAAGATTTTGTGAACATGAAGGATGCAACTGTACAGTTCATAAAAGTTTTTAAGAATTGGTCACTATAAACTGGAGGTAGTTTTGAAATATGTTAGCTTGAATTAATTCATGAAATCAGAAGTAGCATTAATCTACAAAAATATTTTTAAAAATGAAATACTCTCCTGTTAGGAAGATTGTTTCTGTATTACTGAATACATTCTTTTGGAAAAAAAAAAAAGTAGCTTATGGTTTCTGGTTGTTCCCACTCAGCTTTGGAGAGCAGGCCAAGACACATGCACTTGTTGATCTCTCTTGCTGAAAGTGTGTTGATGCTTCCTGAAGTTGTAACATGGACTGAATGTGGCATCCCAGTCACTTCCAAGGTCTTTTTCTACTAAAAACAGTTTTTAGAACCTCCTGTCAAGCATATTAATTCTAAAATAGTGCTTCTGAAACCATATTGTGCAGAAACTGCCCCTCAATTTATCTACAGAGATATTTACTCCTGAAAACTCAGATGATGATCTACAGAGAAAAAGACTGGCATGAGCTCTTCCACTTTCAGTTTCATCAGTATAAAATTTCCCTGGATAACTTTTATCCTGTATCACAGTCACATGGTCTCAATATGTACCAGAAAATACTTTTAGGTTTAGTAGGTTTTAAGTGTAACCATGGAAACCATTGAACCTTAGTAATACTTAAAATACAAAGATTTAAAAAAGCCCAAAGAAAAGTCCCTCTCAGTGAAGTTGCTGTTAAGCTGACATTATTAAAAATACTAAACCCATTTTTTTCCAGCCCCATTCTAAAAGTAATTGGTCAATTTATTCTCGCAAACAAGCATTCCACAGCAACAGGGGAGGGGGAAATTAAAAATCTCTCCATATTTATAACCTATTATAAGTGAAATTAAATTATGTATACCCTGTAGCCACTTTTAGCAAACTTCCCACTGTTATTTTAAATCGTGTGCAACAGGAAAAAAGAGAAAAGAGATTTCTCATCTGCTTTTCTTGTTTTCCCTTCACAAAAGGTAACAAAGAATCACAGGATCATTATGGTTGGAAATAACCTCTAAGTTCATTGAGTCCAACCTTTAACCTAACACTGCCAGCTCTACCATTAAGCCATGCCCCTAAGCACCACATCCACGAGTTTTTTGACCACTTCGAGAGATGATGATTCCACCACTTCCCTGGGCAGCTTGTTCCAATGCTTGACTGGACACAGGAATTGAGGTGTGGCCTCACCAGTGCCAAGTCCAGGGGGACAATCATTGTCCTGGTCCTGCTGGCCACACTATTGCTGATACAGGTCAGATCCTTTCCCACCAAGTAGCTTTCCAGCCACTCTTTCCCAAGCCTGGAGTGCTGCACGGGGTGGTTGTGACTCAAGTGCAGGACCCAGCACTTGACCTTGTTGAACTTCATCCAATAGTCCTGGGCCCATGGATCCAGGCTGCCCATATCCCCCTGCAGCACCTTCCTATCCTCTGGGACATCAACCCTCCTGCTGCCCAACCTCAGGTCATATGCAAATGATCCTCTCATCCAGATCATCAGGAAGATGTTAAACAGGACTGGCCCCCCTACTGACCCCTGGGGGACATCACTGGTGCTCAGCCACCAGCTGGAGGCAACTCCCTTCACCACCACTCTCTGGGCCCGGCCACCAGCCAGCTCTTTATCCCTGAACAGTGCACCCGTCCAAGCCATGGGCTACCAGCTTCTCCAGGAGAATGCTGCGGGAAACAGTGTCAAATGCTTTCCTACAGTCCAGGTAGACATATTTACAGCCTTTCCCTCATCCGCTCTGCAGGTCACCATGTCACAGAAGAAGATCAGGTCAGTGAAGCCTTTCATACACCCCTGCTGGCTGGGCCTGCTCCCCTGGTTGTCCTGCATGTGCTGTGTGATCAAGATGATCTGTTCAGTGACCTTCCCGGCACCAAGGTCAAGCTGACAGACCTGTAGTTTCCTGGATCCTCCTTCAGGCCGTTCTGCTAGCTGGACATCACATTAACCAACCTCCAGTCATCTGGGACCTCCCTGGTCAGCCAGGACTCATGAAAAATGATGGAGAGTGGCCTGGCCAGCTCATCTGCCAGCTCCCTCAGCACCCTTGGGTGGATTCCATCCGGCCCCATAGACCTGTGCCTGTTTAAGTGGAGCAGCAGGTCCCTGCTTACTCTTGGATTATGGGGACTTCATTCTGCTCCTAGCCTGGAGCTGGAGGAGTCTGCAGGTGGGTGAGGACACAGCACCACTGCCTCCCATCCAGCCCATCCTGAAGTCCAGATTTTTGACCCAGGAGCTGCAGGCTCACCTACTGGACCAGGAGGGCAACAAGAACTGCACTCAAGCCGTGGAGGAGCTGAAGAGGGTGGTTGGAGGTGCCAGCCAGGCAGCAGCAACCTCTGTGCCTGCCCTTGGCCTCCTTGGGCTCATCAGCTTCCTTTACACACTCCTCAACTACTCCAACTTCAAGCGGTGCTCAGGGCACTGAAGGTGATCCATCTGCTGGCACTGGGTGACCAGGTCCAGGCCTTCCTGGCACCACTTGTCTCTGCTGCTGGTGAAGTCCTGGGGGGACAAGAAGCTGGCCATCCAGCAGGAGTACAAGCCCCTGTTGCTGTGGCTGATGAAAACAGCACATTCTCAGCAGGAGCTGGGCCTGCTGCTGCAGTGAGAGTACCTGCAGCACAACAACTCCAGAGTCCAAGAGGACGTGGTCATCATCGTGGCCTTCTTCACTTACCCTGGTGGAGAGCTGGACTTGGCCAAGCTGGCATTTGGGCTGCCTCCAGCACTGGTGGACAACAAGAGCAGGGTCTGGCACAATGCCATGGAAATGTTTGCTGTGGTGGCATCTTCCATAGGCCCAGGCAAAACCATCCCTCTCTTCAAGTCAGTGGATGTTGTGGAACTGAAGGACAACAGGGATGGGGTGATGCATGTGGTGCAGGCCAGGCTGGCCAGGCAGACCTTGCTGAAGCTCAGTGGACCAAGGGTTTGTACAGCACACTGTGCCCTTGCTGTTATCTGGTCATGACAGGGGGTCCTGTTTACCCTCTGGAACAGATACCGACTGGCTATTCATGGGCCACAGAACTCTGAGCACACAGTTACTGTGGGTATCACTCAAGGGATGATGCTCTGGGAAACTCCAGCTCCATGGTGCCTAGACTGACCCAGGAATAAGTCCAAGAAAAGTCTTGAGTGCGTGGACAGGGGAAAAAACAAACTGCCTTGGGAAAATAAGCATGCTGGAGGCAAGGAAGGTGGTTCAGGAGTCGAGATCCCTTTCTCAAAGGGTGTGGAGAAGGGTTGCCAGCTGTGCTGCAGGGTTCTGAAGGGCGATCTGATTCAACTGATGGGCATAACCAGGAGTGTCCGAGCTGCGCAGGGTGTTCCTGTGCGGCGCCAAGTCCAGGTGTGACAGGGGTGACGTGTGGTGCCACCTCCAGTGGCAGAGGGATCACTGGCTATTGACAGTTATTTTGACACTAGAGATGCAAGCGCTGAGTTTTTCTTAATTTGTTAGATTTGCATGAGACCATAGTTATGTTCAACCTTACAAACACCTTAATGAGAAGCTCTAGTCAGAGATGCTTGAACTGCCACCACCTCATGTAACTTTCTGATATGTATATAATATGCCATATTCTAATAAAGTATATTTGGCTGGGAGTTCCCAGGGTGAAGTCTGTTGCCAGCAATGGACCCACTGGGAAGAGCAAATGCCTAGAAAAATTAAATCAAATCCAAAGCGAAGTTTCGAATAACCTCCAAAGCTCCTGTATCAAAGCCACATATATCCAACATGCCTCTGTCATCTGGATCTGCCACTGTAAAACCATTTGAGGTCATTCCACAAACAATCAGTTTAGCAGGAATACCCATTTTCTAGAGGAAGGACAGAAAAAAAAAAGTCAGAAAACACATACATGGCAGAACATACATATACAGTAACTTAAACATGCCAGAGGGCCAAATCTTGCTTGCATAAACCACTGTCTGAATAGCCATACTGATAGAAACGAGATATGCCACAATCAGAGTTGAAGACTGCCTGTTAACATTGTGTTTACCCTGTAGCAGACATATTTAAAGAAATGGAAATAATTGCAATGAGGTATATTAGCAAAAATTTCCTGCAATACTACAATTCGTAGATTATTTCAAACGCAAACACTGCATTTGCTATTATGCAGTTCATTCTTAGAGACAACTCAATAACAATTATCAAGTCACCTAACAGACTCAAAGTGTGCATTTTTGTCTAAGGCAAGGATTTCTAAATGTTGCTTGAATAAATACAACAACTGTGGTCTGGACAATTCTGCTAAATAAGCTGAATTTGCAGGCAAGCAATCTCTAAGGTAAAGCAAAGCAACTGGCATGAAGGCCAGAGTGCAGGAACTCTTTCTTTACAGAACAAATTTAGGAATGGGAGCTAACCTCGACTAAGGAAACTAAAACACAGTCCATATACACATGCTTACCAGAAGTATTTTTTGTAGTTTAAAAAATAGTTTCTTTAAAAGATTGTTTGCTGAGTTTCTGATACCAATGTGCTTGCAGAGGCTATTTTTTTTTGTTCTCTTTTAAAATTACTAAGTTTAGTGTAGTCCCTTTAAAACATAATGGGCTTTCTTCAGAAAATAGTGCTACCTCATCCTACTGACACTTCCCTACAGGCTTATCTTCATTACTTTATTTAAACTTTTTGGTATGTACTGCAGACATCAAGGGTAAATTTAATTCCGTGAGCCAAATTCCATTCTGTAAGAACTATAAAAAAAATGTATTCAATCAATTACATATAGAATGCAAAAATTCATATACTCCCTGAACAGCAAACAAAGTTTCATGGATATTGCAATACACAAGCAGGGTAGGCTAATTACAAATCCTTATAGCAATTCTGTGGTTTTAAATGTGCACAATTAGTGCACTATGCCCACTAATTCTACCTAACTGCAGAACTGAGCAGTTTTTAACAATATATAATTATTTACTGAAACAAAGCCACAACTACTTCAGTCCCTAAAACATCTTTAGTATTGGTATTTACTTTGTACTGCATTCACTAATCATGAACAGTCAGAAGCATATTTACCTCTCGGTACTCTCGAAGGGCTGTTGCAGGGGGAGTATTTCCAGCAAAGGTCTCATTATCAGTAAATACAATGAAGACATCAACAGCCCTCTGAGTTTTTTGAGCCCATATCATTGGAAGGGAACAATCAGTGGTACCCACTGGAATCTTAAGAAAAAAAAATAAATATACGTGGAACACATTAATACTGAAATTAGTAAACCATGGAAAAATTATCTTTTATGTAAGTTTCATGTTTTACCACACAGAGGTTTTTTTGTTAAACTTAGTCATTTCATCTTAGTTTTAACCAGTTTTTTTTTTTAGTTGAGTTGGGTTTTTTTAACATTCTTTTCAACTCATTGTGACCTAGCACTGCCATTCTAAATTACAATGTTTAATATCTGAAATATTGACATTTTTGGACTTTCTCTAAATAAAAAGGGACCAAAAAATCCAATGTTTTGCTATAGAGATACATACTAAATAAACAAAAGAACAATGTAACTGCTGAGACTTTTTTTTTTACATACTTCATACATTTTCACTAAAACTTGAGGTAATGTCATATCAGCCATCACTGGACACGGGACCATTTCATGTGAAAAGGCAGCAATGTGGGAATCCTTCTCAGTACGTGCTACAACCTGAGAAACAGGAAGACAAAAATAATTCAGTTATATTACTCTGAATTTTTAATGTCTGGATCGAGCCATTCCCTACCAAACACACAGCATGACATTGCTTTTGCATTTAGGACACCGGGCTCCTCATATGCACCAACAGTTCACTCTACACTTTAAATATTCAGTAATATTTTACTGCAAATAAGCACTGCCAAAATCAGAGCTCAAGAACTGCTCTAATTACTACAACTAAAGATAATTCTATATTTCTTCTCTCCCCTCTGACTTGAAATATTGAGTGCTTTTAAACACCAACAAAAGTTCAACTCCTCTATAATACAAGAATACGATGCAACACAGCAGCTCTGCAACACCAAATTGAGGGGAAAGTGATTGTGAACAAAGGCCACATGGATAACTCAAATGTACACAGGATTTATTCTAAAATTTCTTAATCCAATCTGTATTATTCTATAAGTGCTTCTGAAAAAAATTAAAATGTATTTTCAGCTAAGTGGAAAAGCTGCCCTGAACACTTTGGTTTATACTTGAAACCAACTTCTTGAAACTGATCTTTCTGAATACGGTTACCAGGAACTTTAAGGAACTGATCAACCAGTAAGGTACAAGGTCACGTCTTCCGTACCCAAAAAAATATTATATATAAGTTTCCTCCTGATTTCTAACCAGCTTTAGAGCATCTCTGTATCAAAAGACCAGTTACAAATAAAAGAAATGCAATGCCTCACCATACACATCGTTGCTGCGACGGTGCTCGCATTGAGCACACTGCCCAAAACTTTTTGTGTCATTGATGCACTGACATCAACTGCAAGTAAGAAGCGTTTTCCTGTTGGTTCAAGTGTCTAAAAGGAAAAAAGAGAAAAAAGAAAATAGGTACACATAATTAATACTGTCGCCAAAGTTTTAGCACTGTTACCCACCCCACAAACTTTTCGTGATAAGCTTTCAGAAAACACAGAATTCTTGAAAAGGCTTAACAAATTGAAGAACTGTATTACCTTGAAAGCTTTGTAAAATGAGGCATCTAAAGCTTCTAAAATGTCTTCATCAGGACGCCACCAAAGCTTCCCTCTGCTTCCATGTCCAGCTTTATATGTTTCTAATG